CGTTCGTGCATCTCCTCAATTTCTTCCCAACCTTAGTCCGCTGAACTTCTCCATTTTCCTTTCGAATCCACTTTCAACTTTGCTTTCTTCTCCTATTCGTCATCCCAATGGGCAGCCAAAAGACAGCAACCAAAACTGGCGCACGAAAGTGCATGGTTAATGTTTGTTCAAACTAAACTAAAACTAAACTGTGATACTTTATTCCATTTTTCACAAGTTGAGCTTCGTTTTTCTACTGTGCAAGGTCACCAGAATGAAAAAGCCTCATATTTATTATATATTCCATATCGTACATGTATATATATTGTAGTATTATTATATTGTATTCTGTATTCAGTTAGGCCTGCGGCTGTCTCAAATTTTCGTTCGTACTGACATTGATAATGTTTCATTTAGCCGTTTCGTCATTTTTTGTGCATCTGGATAATTAGTTGAATGGCAGTGTGCTTACAATTCTAACTGAGGGAGTAGATTAGTAGGGTTGCTTTTTACTTATATACGCATGTAGTCAATACGTTTCAAACTTTCTCCTTCCACATAGAAATATTTCTTCGTGTATGCTTTTTTATTCAGATGCTAGATGAAAATGTACGTCTCATTCATAGTCTAATGGCTCACCAGCGCTGTGGTGCAGTGAAAGAAGCAGCAGAACTACAACAAGCACTGCATCGAAATCTGGTTTATTTAGCCACGATCGCAGATCGGACGACTGCGCATGCTAATGCACCCACACCAACGCCAGGTCAACCGGGTGTTACCGGTGTGTCCACAGCACAAACGGGAACGCCTGGACAGAGTACACAACCCCATTTTGCCCCACCTGGAAACGTGGTAGCACCTCAGTCCATTTCTGGTCCTCCAATGAACCCTAACGCACCACTGGATCGAAACCCATCCATGGGAATGCCGCCTACTCACCCCGGCCCACCAACCACTGTTCCTATGGAGCATGTGACCAATCCATCAGCGCCGGTTGCATCTGCACCATCCGGTTTGATGTCAGTGTCCCAACCGTCCGGTCCGATCCATACTCCGGTTTATCCGGCAAACCAAATGCCACAAACAGCAAACGGTCATGAGATTCCACCGCAAGATGTATCAGGTAGATCAGGTAGATGTTTATAGTTCACCACAGCATGATTTTCAATAACATGAGCGATTCTCACAACCCGTGGCGCGGCTACGAAACCTATAAGCCCCGTCCCTCAGAGATGAAAAAGGCTAGACTCTCAGAGCTGTGGTAAATAAGGCTTTGACTACGAAATAGCTTTTATTCGGATTTATTTATGCGCATTTTTATCAAATGCAATGAATTGAAGCGTTGAGCATTCTATACATTTAAGTTCTCTTAGGCAGTGACTGAACATGTATGAGTTGTGCGCCTGAAGTATTTTGACATGAGAAGCACCGAACTACCTTCCTGATTCTAGTCACGAATTGGAAGGTGCTTGTCTCCAAGAGTCTTTTGACTCCAATACAACTTAAAGAATATTGTAATATGAAGAAAAAAAGACGTACCATGATGACTTAGAAGCCTGTATTCCCCAATCCATGTTGAATAATGGGGTTTTAAATTTGCGCTTCATGTTTGTTTAAAAAGAACTCCCTATCAGGTTGCGTGGTAAGTATTGTGAAGATTTAGAAACATTTCACAAGCGGATTCATTGATCAATTTTTGTTAACAAACTTTTGTCGCTAGTGCTACTCTTATCAACTCTTTTGCGAGCACGTGATTATTGCACCGTATTCGGTCTTACTATGTCACCTTGAGCAAAATTTCTAGGACAGGATATTCTGGATATGCGGATATCACGTCATGTACCGCTAGGTTCATAGTTCAGTCGTCGTATTCAGCCACATATCACTGACACAATCAATTGCAAGTTACTTGCATTTGATACGCGTACTTGTTTCTTTCCGTACTTAAACTGACCAAATCTAACTCTCTCCCCTCCAACTTTTCTCGTTGTACAGGACCCCCTCACGGGATGCCCATGGGGCCATAAGTGGACGTTCCAAATACAGAATTGACATTGATAACTTTGTCCATTTTTCGCGGATACTTGTACTTTCTAATACTTATATGTATATTTGTGAAATGCCTCCGTCGCCCAACGAGTTTTTTTGCTCAAATGCTATCATCCTAGTATCCGGTAGTGACTGACACGTAGTTCGGTTTGTTGACTCTATTAGTTCGTAACGACATCACAATTTCGGGAATCAGCTGGAATGGGTCCATTACGGTAATCTTATCATTTCGATCAACGAAAATTATCGGTGTAGTTGGTTCATCCGTGTTGGCGACTGATCAACGGGGCCTATATCTGGAGCTTGTGAAGATAAAAATTTGGCCATGCAAATTCGTCGCATTACTTCAATCACTTCCGGGCTGTTAATATCTATCTCCATGGGGTTCGTTGGGTTAAAGGTTTTCATTGTCGTGTTCACCTGGTCCGAACAAGAATATTTGGTTTTACCACAACTCGAAAGAACCTAACCGACATTTTGCAACCTCTTGGAAGGAGTTGTTCAAGTCAATTAATAAGACACTTGAGAATACTGAGAGTTGTGATTCATGATTGACGTTGGGGCAGGAAAAGTTGTCTGTGTGGTAATAATAATTAAATTCATGGTAATTATCAGAAAATTCCCATCCTATCACGGAAAAAAAAATTTGATGATTTACCGAACAAGCTTGTTTTCGATCATCGAGGGCTGAGACAGTCCTATAGTGGAAAATGGCACTGAAATGTTTTTGAGTGTCCGCATGTGAATTATCAATTGCAATAGTTTGTGTTGTGTGTGTGATTGAAAATAGATGAGAGGATGGGATTTTACCATGTATCTTAAAACAGTCGTTACTGCATTCTACATCAAGGGCTCATGCAAACGTCATCTTCAGCGCCGGGCTGGAGTCAGATACGCGCCAGGGCAGCCTAACGATGGGTTCCACTTCGGTTGTTGTGAGAGGACGAGCAACAGTGTTCTCGCATTGTACCGAGCAATCGACTATTGTGTTCCAGGGACCTCGTGAATGTGCTTGTATCAGTTGGAAAACTCACCTACACTGATTATCCCAATGCATTCAGTATAGGATTGGACAGTATTTCACTTTGTGCAACCATTAACCATACATTCTCATGCGTCAGTTTTTTTGTTTTTGTCTCTTCACTACCCACGGAAAGTTGAAAGTAGTCAAAGAGAAACTGGATAGGTTTGCTGGATTACAGTTGCCAAGAAACTGAGAAGCATGAGCGTCACTGTTTACGACACACATCAATCGCACTCAATATTTCTAACCATTGATCCAAGGTCCCCAGCCAGGGAGCCTAACGGGACCTATGTGACCGAGACTCCTGGTTGGGGTTTTCATATCCTCATACCAGATCTTAGCTTGACCACCCTTGGCTTTATTCCCACCATTACCTGCTTTTGCGAACATCGCTCGCCGTGGCAACCTATCTGGTGACATGCGTAACACATGCCGTACCCAACGCAATCTGTGGAGATAAACCACTTGTTCCAGTAGACCATCGCAGTTACCTAAAACTGTGCTCCTAACCTCAGCATTGCTCGTCCGGCCGCCCCACCAGATTCGTGCAATGCTGTGTAGACAGCGGTGTTCAAATACCGACAGTCTATCCTTATCCTGTTTCCTTAGTGGCTAAGTCTCTGCACCGTATAGCAGAACTGGCCGAACTGTCGCGCCATACACTCGATCCTTCACAGACAGCCGGATGTCGCGACGGCGCCACAGATGTCTCAAGTTGGTAAATGCCAAACGAGCCTTCTGTATGCAAGCTGACACTTCATCCGTGATGCGTAAACCGGGTGAGATGTAGCTGCCCAGATAACAAAACTTATCCACCTCCTCTATTACTTCCCCAGTTAGAGTGAGGCTGGGTGCTGGATCAACCCAGTCTTGTAGTAGCATTTCACACTTTGAAGGTGCAAAACGCAAACCGAACATAGACACACTAGCACTCAAACTATCCAGAAAAGCTTGCAACTTACCTGGATCTTCACTTAGTAGCACAATGCCGTTTGCATCATCTAGATCAGACAGTCTACCACTTGGGAGTAAATCGATGCCACTCCGCGCAGATGTTTCAATAATCAAATCTATATTAAAGGTAGATAGAAAAGGAAAGCAGACAGCCCCTGACGAAAGCCACTTTCCGTGGTGAACTCGGGTGAAAAAGCGCCCGTAGCTCGAACTCGACTTCGTGCATGAGTGCAAAGGGATCGTTATATTGAAATGAACTTCTCAATGTACCCTTTGGAGCGAGGCAGCGCCAGAGTTTGGTGCGGTCAATCGAATCGAAGGCTGCTATCAAATCGAGGAAGATGTAAGTGGTGGGTCCACGAAAGGAGTGTCCGTGTTCTACAATTTGACGAGGAGTGAAGATGTAGTTGGTGCAACCTCCACCAAGTCATAAACAAGCCTGGTACTCACGCGTGTACTGTTTACGTGCGGCAGACAATCTACGAAGCAAGATGTGACTGAGAATTTTAGAGACAATGTTGATTAAATTAATTCTCCTCTGGTTTTCATAAGAGGATCTATCACTTTTCTTGTAAATCAGTATGAAGACCGATCCCTAGTGTTTGCTTCTCCATACGGACTCCAGAGGTTTTGTCAACTCAAAGACAAACGCTGTACCTCCATCATTAAAAGCCGATGGAAACAGCTCATTTAGGCCGGAATCTTAAGCCTTTCCTAATAACTTACTTCCCGGGCAACCTCCATTTCACATGAAGGACTGGCAGCAAGTGGGGGTGATAGGTCAGATGACGATGGGGAGCGTTTGAACAAAGCCTTAAAATGTTCGGCCCATCGATCAAGATAGCATTGCTGATCGTGAATCAGTGTGCCATCGAATTCCTTAATTACCACATGCCCATATTCCCAATTAGACGGAAAAGGGTGCGACTATTACCAACAGCCGCAGCTTTCTTCATCTCTACGCTCTCCGACCCACCACTTCTCGCGGTCATTCCTCAGACTCTTGATGACCGGGCGTTTGGGGGCTTTGCACACTGTCATATATGGCATCAGGAGGAAGGGTTCTTTGAGGTGAGGTCGACGAGATCCACCGTGTCTTTTGAATCTGCTCCAGAGTCCGCCGTTGTGGTCATCGATTTGTGCATAGCTTCCTTTATTTTTTTCCGATGTTCATTAAGTCCTTCGACTGTTGGTTGAGTCTATGCTATTAGAGAGCTCTGCTTCGAAGTCCTATTTGCAACTATCGCTGATATTGTATCGTGAGTATCCGTTGCCGGTGGCTTTATGGCACTGTATCGCTAGGTGTAAGGAGAATTTGGATCGTCGCGAAGCGTGGTTCGTATCCACAGGCATTGATCAGTGAGAGCGTTAGTCTTGAATTGACCATCTCCAGCCGTAACTAATAGCGCTGTGTTCGATTGAGGTTCATCGCTGTGAAGAAGTGGGCGGTTTCTATGTAAGACGGTGTCGTTTCCTGTGCGAGAAGTTGGTGTTGGACAGGAACAATCCGTTAAAGTAGGCAATCTCCGTTGTCCGTCTGGTTGGCTTGGACTGCATGTGGACCGCCAAAAAGCTATTCTGATTCATCCCCGGATCCAACCTGAGCATTGTAGTCACTGGCGTCTACAACGATGTCCATTGAGCAAACACCAGAGTAATTGATAAAGATCCTTATGGAATTCATTCTGGATTCCAGGTGTATTCGAATCGGCCGTTGCATGCACCGAAACAGGCAATAAGCATCGACGCTTTGTTCGGTCGCTGTTGAGATGTACCGCGCACAGTCAGCTACTGACTGAAATCCATTCAAGAAGCGAAAGTGAATGGTAAATTGGGCAGGCACTAGCAGATTGTTCGTTTGCAGCATGTGTTTACAACACCGTTACTGACATGAAACACGACTCATCAAAGTGCTCTTATACTTGTTCATTTCCCTCGGCTTGATCTGTGGACGACTACCGAGCATTCCATTTTGAAGTGACGGGAATATGAGCGATACATATCACGTCATCGTGCATACCTACTTCAAGATCCGCCTATCTAAGTGCCTTAGGACGTCTCTTAGCAGGTGAATAAATGTTGCTGCCCGGATGTGTTGGAAAGAAGCTAGGTTATGTCG